AATAAGCCCAATATGACTTGCCTGTGACGTCTGGATGGAAAGTTATGACTCCTGAAGCGATGCTAATACCAAAAAGGTACAAAATTATGCAAAAAACCGACATGTCGTCACTTCTGAGGCCATAAATACCCAACCAGACGTCATAGACAAGTCGTATTGGACCTATTTTTTAGCTATGCACATCAGCTTTAATATAGAATACATTTAAACTTGGAATGTGGATGTCCCTACAGATAATTAACTTTTAGGGACGAAACACGTGAACATTTTTTGGCTCTTTCCCAAACAAAAATATACGCCGATGAGACGTTAGCGTCTCGTTCGACGTTAGCGCGACGTTTTACATGTACTGTATGTAAGCGTTCAACATATGTTGGGCTCAGAGGAAAAATGTTTCGTAGAAAAGTTCCGCGGAAAAATGTCCACGTTCCATACAAGTATATATATAAAACAAAAGCACTTGTAACAAAAATTAGAAATGTATGTTTCATCCAAACATATGTTATTCCATGAAGGTTCATTTTCCATTCAAATGTGGCGCGGACAAGAGTTTTTGTGGAGAAATTTCGCGCATGCGTGAAATCCGATGTAGGTATCGGGGAAACACCTTTTCCATATTTCCCCTCAAAAATTTTGGTTTTTACTTCTCTCTTCTCCCCTCTGTGCATTTTGCATGAAAATGAACCCCCCTCTGGCACCTATGGTTGGACGAAATATACATTTCTATACTACTTATATAGCCACCGTATTATCGATACGGCGTATCAGTGTGATATGAAAATTATCGAAAAAAACACAAAAAGATGTGGTTTGTATTGACACTATCATAGCATCAGCCGACAGAAAAGTGAAAAACCCAAAGCGACCAATCTAATTGATTGTAATAGTAATTTTATCCATGTTGTTAACTGAAAGCCTTAACTGAATGTCTTGAATTGAAATCTTAATACAAAGCAATTTTGATTTGCTTGAATAAATTCGTATTCTTCATTTTACATTTATTTCATTTTTAGCTTCATTCATTCCGTATGTATTCTTTATCCAATTGTTTTGTTTTAATTCTCTGAACCAATTTGGTTTTGTTTTTATAAACTTTCAACCCAGAAAAACTGGTCTTTAAACTTTTTCCTTATTTGTTGTTGCTATTTTGCGATTTTTTGTCATATTTTATTTCAGATTATTTGTAATGAGTTGAAATGTCCATGAAAATGACCACCTTCTTGTGGCACAATGTGGTTGGACCATTATTATTGTTTATGCCTCTTCCTCGTGCCAATCGGACTTGCAACCGGGACACTTTTTCTGCTTCACCACATAGTTTTTGAAGCAACGTTTATCCAACGCCGCATCACATTCATCGTTCGGGCAGAAATGGGGCTGCGAAAATGCAAAAAAAAAAAAATGTTTGAAATGAAGAAAAATAATCAAAAAACGTAAAATCATTTTCAATCAAAGAAATCAATGCAAGGCAATTTAGTGCATTTTGTCAAAGCACCCGAGACAGTGTCATTCAAAAAATATTTTGGATTTCACATTTTTCACCTGCAATGCAATCTCGCTGCACAAACGACAACATTGAATGTAATCACCAAATTTGGTGCGGAATGTGTCACGGTATTCGCCAATACCTCTGGGGCCCAATGTAATCAAATCACCGCGATTCATGAAATAGCCAGCCTCTATCCATTCTTCAAGCAGATCTTCGGCACGTTGTTTCGTCACCTTTTTCGACGTTGACTGCGACTGGGAGAGTTGCGATGGTGCCGAAGACAAGTGCACCGCCGACATTCGCGATAACGAATGTGTGTCATTCATTACGATCTTTTCCATCAGAGTTTTCATATAATTGGATTCGGCTTCGTTGTACACCGGCGATGCACTGCAGTTTTTTTTTTTTTGGGGGAGAAAATGAACGAATTTTTCATTGAAGGATTGAGTTGAAAAAAAGGAGATTTAAGACGAATTTTAGTGGTATGCATAGGATACATTGCTGCTCAAGTTAAAATAAAAGCAGAAAGAATCTTACCCAATCGTAGCAAATGTGTTGCAAAATACCAAAAATTCGCACGCTATATCGTCCCATTCATAGTGTACGAAGCTTAAACGTTGTTCAATTTCGTGTTCCGTCAGTTTGGCATTGATTTCATCAACCATTTTTCGAACGGCCGCATCGTTTACCTCTGCCTCACTGTCACCGTCTGTTATGGTGGAAAATGGGAGAAACCGAAGAAAAGGCAATTGAAGACAGATCCAAAGAAGACCAATCGTAAGAGCCAGAGGAAAATCAATCGATGCGAGAGCCAAAGAGATACACCATAATTATCAAGTTGATAATATCAGCAATTTGTTGAAAATCCAAGTAAAAACCGATGACCGATTGAAAAAAAAAAAATAGAAAATGAGAACCATAAAAATCAGACTGGTATACAACTCATGCAATGCTCATTTTCTGAAGAGAATTCCAAATTAAGTCTGAACTTTGTTATTATTGAAATCAACTTACGTTTATTTTGAACCGATTGCAGAACGTCGTGTGTTTGTTTGGTCGACAGTACGCTGAGACGGATACAAGCCTGTAGAAAAGCACGATGAGCATTTGTGTAATTCTCGTCCATTTTTCACAGTGGTTGCCGACAAGGGGATTTTAGTGTAAGAAAATGCAGAATATTTCACGAAGTAAGAACAATTGAAGTTATTTTCTTAAGCCGTCCAAGCCGAATAAAATGACTGAAGGAAAATTGCCGGCAATAATAAAAAGACAGTGACAAAAAACCCAAAAAAGAAGAAAATGTTTGTTTGGAATCGAAACCAATGTAAATTACTTGATATAAACTGAACCGCTTCGACAATGAACTGTCAAATGAATTGGCGCCGAATGGTTGTGACAGTTGTGCACAAGTGTGCGTGTGTGTATGTGTTTGTGTTACGGAATGTCGGTAACATAACCAAAAAACCAAAACAAACTTGACATCAACACGAATTGTTATAGCACAAAGTGGAGGTTGATCCATTTGATTTGAATTCGACAAAATAATAAAAAAGGAGAAGAAGAAAAAAGAGAAAAAAAGGAAATTCAGTCCAAAAAAAAACTTATCAAAATGAATTTTCTGCCGCGTTTACCGCGGTTATTATATCACATCCACCAGTATCGTGTGAAAAATGTGAATGCAATTGCATCGAGTGCGGCTTATTCAATATGCTGTACCCAAAGAAGTGGTATATTTGAGCGGCAGCGTTCTGTGAGTGCTGTGTCCGTATGTTATTTGCCAAAGCGGCATAAGTCATTCACCGAATCAGTGAGCGAGATTTATCTGTCGATATCGAGCAGTACAACGGTGTCATACTTTCAGAATGCATTGCTCTCATTTCATGATCAAACGGGATTGCCATGGTGGGCCACAATCATCATTTACACCGTTGGATTGCGAATGGTAACATTCCCATTGGCTGTGTACGGTCAAAAGATCAAGGCTCGGCTGCTTTCAATTCTTCAGACCGAACTGCCTGCGATGAACAATGAGCTAAAACGTGAAGTGGCCATTGCCAAGAAGAAGTTCGGCTTAAGCGACAAAGACGCCTATATTCTCTATAAAAGGTCCTTCAACACTCAGTACCGTAAATTGATTGAACGTGATAATTGCCATCCGCTGAAGACGACCGTACTGTTTTGGTTTCAGATTCCGATTTGGATTTGTCATTCCATTGGCATTCGAAATATACTCAGCATGCGACCCGATCCGAATTCATATCGCGCCTTAATTGCCTACACACAGATGACCGTCGGTGGATTCCTTTGGATACCGAATCTAATCGAAACCGACACATCATACATTCTGCCGGTACTGTGGTGCATCACTAATCTCGTCAACATCGAATTGGGCGCACTGGAAAAGGGCGGCACACCGAGCAAATTCATGATCGTCATGACAAATGTATTTCGAGGGATTACCATTGCCATCGTTCCAATTGCTGCATCCGTTCCATCATGTCTAACACTCTATTGGTGCACATCATCGATGTGCGCCCTGGCACAAAATCTCATTCTTCTGTCGCCCAAAGCCAAACGCACTTTTGGCATACCTCTTAACACACAGTACCACATGGACCATCCGTATCGAACCATGGCCAACAGATTTAGCGAACGAATGGAACAACGGAAAAATTGGTGCTTGTCGTTTATCAAAGCGAAATAGTGTGGGATATTTTTCTGAACTAGTCAAAACGTTCCGTTCTGTTGTTTCTTTCTCTTTTCTTTATTTAATTGTTATCAATAAATTTTGGTTCAAGAATTTTAACAAATGGTCGTTTTTTTTTCATCAAATTTACAGCTTCAACAAAAGAAGAAGAATTTTATTTTCAATTATCATCTGAAGTGGTGATTTCGATTGAATTCGGCTTGTAGATACATTTTATTGCTCTGTAAAGTGGTCATTTTGCCCGATCTGAACGGTTCGTGAACCATTGATCGTACATTTTTATCCGTAATGTATCCGTGCGTTTTCAAATTGTCACGTAACTGTTTGAAATCAGCTCGAAGCCGGTCATCGTTGCAACATTCATCGAACATTTTTTCAGCCTCGTCGATCTATTTGAAATGGACAAACAAACGCATTTTCTTAATATTTTCGACATTTTCTTTGTTATTTCTTTAGAATGTAGTTTTTGTTCTGCTGGAAAATGTTTTTTGTATAAATACTTCTTCTAAAGAGATGGATTTTTTGAATAAATTCTTTATAGAGAATTATTGGTGTTCTTAATAAGAGACGTCAATCTAAGAATAAGAGACCTAAGCCCATTCATTGTTCAACATTTCCAATGGCTTAAATCATCCACTGTAAATCAAAAAGTCTGGCTTGAAAAAATCGAAAATTGCTCACCGCTTCACTGGAAACGACATCATCTTTCTCCGTTCGACTTTCATCGTACACAAGCAACAAGGAGCGCAGTACTTGTAATGCATCGACAAATTTGTGCATGCGAATCAGTGCAATGAGTCGTAGAGTGGGTATGGCTTGATGTGCCGATGGCCAAAGGGTAAGCAATTGTTCTTCGGCGATGTGCGGATTATTTTGATTCAGAGCTAGAGCTGATAGAAACACCAAATGGTCCTGTGTTATGTGCAAATCTTTGTATTGATCATTCAGCTGCTTTGCATAGTCAAACGATTTGTCCGTGTTCTGGAATAGAAAAGTAATTCAATGGGTGTAAATACGTGGGTGTGTGTGTGTCTACCAATTTTCTAGGCAACGTTCAATCGCCGGACCAACGACTGTACAATTCATCATTAACATTGTTGTATACGTTAAAATCGGTTGAATCGAACGATGTGTAGAAAATAGGCTAAACAAACCATTGATTCAAAGGCTTTGAATCAATTCTTTCCGTTTAGAAATTCGTTTTGCCCATACCTGACTGTACAAAGTGGCAAACACCAGAATAAAAATACTCCGTGTAATGGTCTGTTGCTTTGCGTCTAGTTGCTCTCGTAACTCCTGGAAGTGTCGTAAAAATTCAGCGTATTGTTCCTGCTTGAACAACAAGTCAAAAAATAGCAACAGACAATGTTTGCTGCTCAGATAATTTTTTCGCAAAATTTGGTCGTTATAAAACTGTGAATGGAAAATATTTTCTTTTAAAATCTAAAAATGAACGCTATGTCGATTGTTGACTTAAACTACGTTTCAATTAACCTTTGACGCGAGTTCATTGTTTTGAAAATGATGTAGCATTCGCATGAGTATGGAACCAATGGAGACTTTTCGTACATTGTCAATGTCAGTGTTCTTGAATTTATTCAATGCCTTTTCCAACAGGGCAAAATCATCGCTGGTGTCATTGATCAAGTGCAGAAATTGCGTTAAATCATTCACAATTAAATTGGGTGCGACCGTTTTGTATTCCAAACGCTTTTTGAAATTGGTTCTTTTCATTTCGCTAGAGCCTGCCTGAAGGCTCATTTTAAATCGTTCCCGATCTCGCACATATTTATCCACTGATAATTGCTCAGCTGTGAAGATTGTACGATGCACCAGTTCTGTGTGGAATAAAAGTCACATTCGAATTAGCAAAAATAAACACAATGATAGGTCTTTGATAATCGAATCAATTCCAAATCAAACTTTATTTTCACATAGTGATAAGCGAAGTCCATTTCCATATCTTGGAATAACAATAATTTGAGGTTAATAAATCTAGGCTCAATTTACGTTCAAAACTCCGGCATGTCTTCAAAATTGATGGTTGACCAAGAAACCAGGCTATTTGCATCATTCCACCAACCACAAAAAATACCACAACAATACTCAGTCTTATACTCTGAGTTCTACACAAATCCTTTAACTAAAGCTGATAATACGATGAACTGTCAAAATTTGACGGTTTGCCGGCTACACATGTCATAATGAATACACCGATTTGCAAACATATGAAAATGTTGGTAAATATTGTGTCAACAAGGAACGTCTAACCTCCAATGTTTTGGCCTTGGCAAGCACAAAAATACAGATTTCGCCATCCCTCAATTTGTTTATTCATATGAATCCAAATTTATGAATTTTCATTCACGAAAATCGAAAGACTCAAAAAGAAGAAAAAAAATACAAATTGGAATTAAATGTTATTTTATCCATTTTTATTACAAATTTCTCTCTTTCTTTGTTAATTTTCAACGGTATTTTATTTTGTATAACAAATAGTTTCATTTCATTAGTTTTAACATTGGGAATCGATGTGAGGAATCTGTGATTTTTTTTTTTTTGATCATTTCGGTTTTATTTAATGCGAAAACCAGATCTTGTTAGAATGGTTGATCAAAACGTGATCGACGTGGTGGTCCTCGTTTGTTTTGCATTCGGAGTAGGTCTTCGGCCAAATTGTTGTTACCATGGGGCAGTGAGTCGTTGTATCTACCTGACATAGTTTGCATTCGGAATATTTCTTCGCCATAATTGCTACTGTACGGCAACGGATCGCCTTGGTATCTTGGTCTTTGCATATAGGGCACTTGTGGCGGTGGTTGATGTGGGTTATACCTTTGTTGTGGGTTGTATGGTGCTGATGTATGTGTGTTTGGATATTGATGTGTTGGTCTTTTGTTGAAATTTTGACGGTGCCGATTGGGCGGTGGATGTGAATCGATACGTTTTACATCTTTACTATTGATATGTACAAAATAACCACCTCGGCCGTCTGGTATCAAATCATTACGTTGCACATTTACACAGCCTATCAAGTTAACCTGTTTTTGTATTTGATTGAAGGCATCTAATGGTGTTTGCGGTGATGGCATTGATCGATTTGATGTCGGTATCGAATGTTCGTCGATCCAAAAACCACGCAATGTTTGCGTCCCTTTGTCTGTCTCGGTGTCGATGGCCAGCGATGGTAATTTTGGTATTTTTTCCTCATTCCCATCTTTTGCCGTTAAATTCCTCAATTTTTCTAAATAATTCTCACGCTCCATTTGATGACTGCGCGCCTCTTCAAAAGCTGTTGATGATGAAGCAGATGAAATTGGTTAGATTTGATTTGGAAAATTATTAATTTGGAATTTTTAATATGTTTCATGAAAATTGATGTAATAATGGGATTTCGCTATATTAAAATGAAATAAATTGACGAAAAAATGTGCATGCATCCTGAACACTTCAAAAAATAAATAAAATGTTCAAAACAGTTTTTTTTATATTGACAAAAATAAATTTAATTTTCAAAAAAAAATCATAAATTACAAAAATCACCATTTCTAATTTGCATTTTTTTTTAATAAATTAAATTTTTTTTAACTTATTTTTTTTTTAAAAAAAAAAAAAAATAAAAAAAAGAGATCATAGTCCGTTCCAAGTTATTTGCGGTTTTGATTTTGAAGACGGCTTTAATTTTTGAAACGGCGAATTTTCGTGAACCGTTGATTGGGTGTGAGAATTTAAGCAGAATGGTGACAAATTGACCCGCTAAATATTTTGATATCGTTCGTTTTCGCCAGTCTTTTCTGGAATTCGAAGACTTTGTGGAGTCATTCCAAATCGAAATCTTTTTTGCAAGAGTTAAATTCTTCTGCAGTAAAAAAAGAACCAAAATTGTCCGAAAATTTCGGTTCTTCTTTGTATCTATTGAAGAATTATATTCTTGGCCCAAAGATTTCGATTCGGATCGATTCTGCAATGTTATCGAATCCCAGAATTGATTGGCGAAAACAACGATATCAAAATATTTTTTGTGTCAATTCGTTACCATCCTGCCTGAATCAGCACATCCAATCGACGATTATCGGAAATTCGTCGTTTCAAAAACTAAAGCCGTCTTTAAAATTAAAACTTCGTCAACTTGGAACGGGCTTTAAAAAATGAGTTTTCATTTTAAACGGCGGAAATGTTGGATTTTTCGATCTATTGCCACGTTTTAGCGCAACTGCATCAATTGGTGGATATAGTTGGTACGATCCATTTCATGACCGCGCGCCACATTAAATTCTGTGAAAGGGTAAGTATATATTCTCAGTAAGATAATGTGAGCCGACAGTTAAATGTTGCATCGTTTCCAAAGGGAAATTCTTTTCGACTGTGTTTAGATACATTTTATGAGAGATGTTATTAAATGAATGAAATTCTGGATGAAAATTATCCAATCGATTATAATTTAAGAAGAAAAAAAATTCGGTGTCGAACTGTGTTATTCATGGAATAAAATAAACAATTTCCAAAAATTTTGCCCCTTCGAATAACTTGAGTGAATAATTTTTTTTCCATTATAAATATTCAAAATGAATGCCGAAAAATTCACAGAAAAAAATTATTGTCAATTTTCCAAATTCATTTGTGATGAAGAAAACTAATTTGGGAGATTGGCCATGATTTGTTTCTATGAATTTTCGGCTTTTTGAATTTTTGTTATCAATCAAGTTTCTTTTGGGTTTACTAAAAAAAAGGATGGTCAGTTTCATCTCCTCCGATTGAATAAATCAATGAATTAAATAGCGAAAAAATCCAAATGTAGAAAAAAATAACAAAAAATTTGTTGAAAAAAGAATTTTGAAAATGTCGAAAAGAGTTGAAAATTCAATTTTGAAGAGAAATTAAATTTCGAAAAAAATTGCAAGCGATGTGTCCCGAAGATCCAACCAAAAAAAAAAAATGTTTTGAAAATGTGAAAAATGAATCGTTAAAAAAATTGGTCACAAATTAGTTTAGTTTCCAATTTCGTCATAATACAAATGTCTGCTTCACCTGTAATAGCATCGATCGGTGGAGTATTCATTTCCTCAATCATATATCGACAAATCATAAAGCCACTTCGATTCAGTCCGTGGGTACAATGCACGCCAATCAATTTATCTATAGATTTCATTTGAAGAAAAAAACGACCAAAGAGACAATGATAAAGAAAATTTTACGATCCAAAGAATGAATAAAAAAAAATGAAAATTTTCGATAAAATAAATCATTCGAACCATTATCTTCGTTTTCTTCTAAAAACCTTTTGACTCTGTCACGGAACCTATGAATGATGGAATGAAATTGTGTGTAAGTCCATTGATTGCGATTGATGCAAAATCGTTGTTCGATCCAATACGGATAATCAACAAGATACTAACTGTACGGAGCATTCATAATTGGGAACATGATGGCCTTGGACTCGGATTTTCTCATATTCAACACCAAGCTGAGTAAATTCCTGTTCGTAAAGAGAAGAAGAGGCGACAATTTTGTGTCAAAAATTAATTTGAAAATTCCATAATTCCAAAATTCCAAAACTTGATATGAAAAAAGAATAATAAAAAAAAAGATCACGACATACGTCTGGATTGTAGTACTTGAGTGTGTTTGTGAGATCGATCACAAGTCCAAGTTTCGGTACGAGTGAAACGAGCAATTTCGGATAGAGCCTAGATTGAAAGCGAAAAAAAAAATCCAATTTCAAATTCGTTCATTCCAATTGGATCGAAAAAAAAAAGTTTTAAAAAAAACCGCAACGTACTGTTTTTCATCCGGCACTTGGCTTCCTCGGTTCATTCCCTGTAAATGTTCGCAAAAGTTCCAATGAAAATCATAGTTGAATGAAAAAATGATGATGAATTGCAATTTAAACGTCATTGATGTGATGAAACTCATTGATTCGGTTCAAGCGATTGATTGACTTCTCTTTCCGATCTGTCAATTTCCCAATGAACATAAAAAGAAGAACAAGCAACGATTGGAAAAAGTACGAAAAGACCTTTGTTCAAATTTGAACCAACATTTTCTATTCATTTTCGCAAAAAAATCCGACCGAAATCTGACGCAATTCAATAAAAATGTTGAAAATAACAACAAAAGTTGTGTGCATTAACAAACCTCTTTGAGTGGTACTTTGAATGCAATAAAACGTGTTCCATGAACTGGTTTACCGACTCGTTGGTAGTCGTTCCATCTGCAAACCAAATTGAATATAAATAATCTCACCGTCTTTAGAACAGAATTGCATTGGCATTAAAACCAATTTACCCTTCTGGAAGTCCCATCGTTGTTTATTTATTCGCTAATGAACTCTACAAAAAATTTCGGTCTTGAATTTCCGCAACAAAAGTTTCTATTTCTAAAAAGTGATAAGAGTTACACAAGTCGGAATCACAAAAGAACAATAAAATACCCACACATAAACGAGCAAGACACACACGTTCTATTATGACAGCTGCGATGTCAATGTCAAAGAATCGCATGGCGAGCATTTGTTGGTTGGCAGCAACAACGTGCGTCCATTGTGTTTGTGCGATTTATTGAACGCATCCACTGCGTTGTGGTCGTCAAATGTGTGTGTTTGTTTCGTTCGGGCAAACTGTCAATAAGGTAAAGCGTTTAACTGCTTCTAGTGTTGTATGTGACAATCGGCGAAAACAAAAATCTATTATTCTTTTTTTTCGATTCGAGCGTATTTTGTTTTTTTTTTTTTGGTTTGGGATTTTTCATAAACAGTCGACGGTGAGAACGAGTGTACGAGCATTTTGTGTATGTTGTGTTTTCGGGTCATGTTTTCGTGGATGTGACAGCTAACCGATTCTACAGCTATAAATGCACGATTAAATGAATTGCATCCCAATACAATTTAATTGAATTTGGTTTAGTTTGTGAACAACAATCCAGAGAAGCAATAAAAAGGAAAGAAAAGGAAAAGAAAAAGGCAAAGTAAGCATAACAAACCGTATGAATTGGTAAACTGTCTATCTGTGTGTCTCGATCTCTTTGGATCCGCATTGGATACTTTACGGATTTCGGCTTCGAAGAGACAGTTGCACAACAATTGAATTTTATGATGAATGTGAGCATTAATTGGGATTTTTCTCCTTTTCTCTCCTTCTTTTCCTCCCTTTCTCTATGTTAACACTTCCAGATGAAACCGAGCACACCAACCACAACCGCCACAAAGTCCATATCATCTGCGTCACCATCGTCCAAATCAAAGAGCAAAAAATCATCATCGTCCTCGTCGAGCAGCAGCAGCGGCACATCCATCGCTGGCAATGCCATCAGTACCAGCACTACAAATCAACATTCATCCACAACACATACTGCGGCTGCCGCACAACAACCAATCACTGTTCAAGCAAACCTAAATCATTTAAGCAACAGCAACGATCATGCATCGCCCAGCTCATCAAATCGAGAGAAAACTAAGTAAGTTTTGTTTTCTGCTTTGGTTTCGATACTAAGAATGATACTTTCGGCTAAAAACGTTCCGAATAGTAAGCAAATCTGACGAAACTGAGTGATAACACAAGCAAAGACGAAAAGTGTGAAGAGAAAAATGAAGAAAAATGTAACATTCTGGCTGTTTTTAATGTGCAAGCCAGTTTTTGTTCTGTTCAAGACTTGAAGAGATCAAAATGGTTTGAAATGTTTGAATCAAAATGATCAGATAACAATCAAATGTTCGATTTTTCTCAAATCACTCTTTTTCAAGGTTGGAGAATCACATCTTCACTTTTTCAACGAAACAACCTCGTCAATCTCTAAATAAATAATTTAGCCTAAAAAAAAAATCGTCCATTCAATATATTAAACTCAATCAATTGTATCCATTTTTGTTTCGTTTCGCAGTCATCGCACGTACGTGGGAATCAATGCGAACAGTGTAAAATGTATTTGGGAGCAATACAACAAAGGTGATATTGAATTGAATCCGGAAATTTTGCCAATACTCGCCGAAGATGCTAGCTACAAGCTATGGGAAGTGGTAAACAATCTCAAGACATTTACACGGCATTCGGGTGGAAAATTGACAACAAGCATTGTCAATGAATTGCTTAAAGACTGTAATGTACCGCCAATAATTGGTGCAAATGCTGGACATCGTGAATGGAAGCGTTTAGATTTTGAAGGTACATACTTTTATCCGGGTGATGAGGTGATCGATTTGCGCGAAGAATATTTACGCGATGAAACGCTTACACAGCACGGTCCATTAACATTGGAAGCGAATTGGGTGTCAAATCAGCGAAATTTTAAGGATTTAACCAAACTCTGGCAGAGTATAATGTTGGCCATTGTGCTGGGCGATGATGCTGCGTTCCAGTATACAATCCATACGACGCTGATAAATCCATTTATCGGATGCATTCTACCGCATTTGGTGCAAAAATCCATTGAATACTTAGCATTCGGTTGTACGGATGATACGCTTGATCGTTTATTACGCTTCCTAAAAGTGCTTGTACAAAATTATCATAGTCGTGATGTGGCCAACAATGAGGAATACTTCAATTTATGTAATTTATTTGTGTGTTTGCTGCTCGGAACGGTTGACATCAAAACTAAATTGGCCATCGTACGGATGGAGCGTTCGAAGCGCGAAAAATTGGAGAAGCAGCGTGAAAAAGAGGGAAAATTGGTGGAAAAAACGACTGAATCACTGGTGAAAAATATCAAAACGGAATTTTGTAGTGCTAAAGACGGACGAGTCGATGGAAGTGGCGGTGGTGACGGAGAAGGAGGAGGAGGAGGAGGAGAAGGAGGAGGAGGAAAAGGAAAAGGAGGAAAAGGAAAAGGAAAAGGAGGTGGTGGTGACGGTAGTGGCGGCGGTGGTACAGATTCTGATAAAGTGATAATCAAAGATGAATCCGACTATTCGAATGATGTATATTCAAATTATGTGGTGAATCCGGTGGCGTTGAGCATTAAAACCGAAACACCGGACGATCAACGATTTTTCGACTGCGATTCGGATATGAAATTCGAAAATAGTATGTACAATGCGGACTTTCATGATGAGCCCATGTTTAATGCGAGCGGCAAAAGTGCGGCCGACATTAAAACCGAACACACAGATAATTTGCTACGGGACAAATGTCCGATCACCATCAATGGCGAAGACATACAAACCTATTGTGATGAAGTGTTTTCACCGTTCGTAACTGGCGCTTGCAGTGATCGATATGTGGATGAAGTGTGTAAATTGATTGGCTATTTGGCTGGGAAATTGGGCTATTTTGAGCATGAAACGACTTATTTGCTGGCCAAACGATTGGAGATCTTCTTCTTTGACAGCGCACGAATCGGTGCACATCGATGGTCAACACATGATTTCAAATGGTTGGCACGCATCACACAAGCATTGACCGCACTTGGTGAAACGGCCTTCCGTGAACTGACACTCTACTTCGAACACATACCATACGATCAAATGCCCGAATGGCTAATACCACATCTAAGCTACGGTGCGATCTATATACGCGGACGAAAAGATTTATATTTTTATGAATATATGCAAGAGGTGTGCGGCGATGCGTTGCTCCCATTTTTACTGTACCATCCGAAATATGTGGCAAAACTACAGAAATTGGCTGTATTGAAAAAGAAACGGCGACCAACCACTGCACCGCCACCATTAAAAATTAGCTCAAAATCAATGCTACGATTTAGTGAACGAAAACATTTACACAGCAAACAAACGACACGACCCGCATCACAACCAAACATCGATGACCTATTTCCCGAACGAATTAAACACATCCAGAGAATGATGACAACAGCATCATCATCGTCATCCATGTCGTCGTCATCATCATCATCCACATCGTCATTTTTGTCCACGGCAACGCAACGACGAATTGGTTTCAAATTTGCCGGTTGCTGTCCCGTACTCACCAAATCCACCAGCATTAAACGCAGCGCCGAACAACAATTCGTTCAATCATTCGATTTGTATAACAAATTAAATAAGCGCATTGTCATTTGTAGACGAAAATTGTTAAAACCCATTTATATCAATCATTCGGCCAATTTAAGTCATTTAACCGATAACCGGCAGTACAACATTTAGGATAAATAATAAACAAAACACCCGACACCCGACATACACACATATTGCAAATACAAACTCAATGCAAACAAACAGAAAAAACCGCCGATGTAATACAGGGGCGGAGACTAAGTGAAAGAGAGAGAGAGAGAGAGAGAGAGAGAGAGAGAGAGAGAACGATAAAAAAACAAACAAATTTGAAAAAAAAGAGAGAAAAATAAATATTTCAATTTTAACAGAAAAAAAAAATGATCCAACGCTTTTTATTTATTCAACTTTTTTTTTGTTTCATTCATTCATTGAAAAGTACATCGAAAAAAATCACTACAAAATTAGCATGAGTAAATAAATGGATGTGTGGTAATTTTTGTTTACACTTTTAAAAAGAGAGCCCCTTTAAGAGACTCAATCAAAAATTTTCGATTTTTTTTTCTTTTTTTTTCTTAAAAACAGAGACTTATCGAACATTTCTAGGTACTATTTCGTACGTTTACTAGGTACGTTTTTTTTTCAGATGTAAATTATCACACTGGAACCAATGTTGACTGGTTAAGCTTTCGAATATATTTTGCTATTGTCCGTTTTCTTCTGCAACGGCTCCATTTCACAGATGTCTTCGTGTCGCATTTCGTTCCCATTTTCACCATCGACGGGTTTTTGTGTATGCTTGAGATGGTGCGTACAGTGTTTGGCCGGCCGTAGAATGATATGAGCGAAACATGTGATGAGCGAGGCGATCGAAAAGATTTGAAAGCATTTTTTACCACCCAACCATTTGTACATCTGAAAGTGGAAAGTGATTTATCGTTGAATTGATTGAACATCATTGCAACACGGTTTCAATTCAAAGATGTGTACGCATCTAGGGCGCATCGAATTCAGATTAGCGACCAATGAAAAATCGAGGGGCAAACCACTCAAAAGTAATACTGTGTATTAGTATTACTTTAAGTAATACTAATGTAAATATTACCTTGTATTACTTTAGTATTACTTTTTTCAAACAATAGTATTATTTTTAAAAGGAGTATTACTTTATCAAAAGTAATACCACTTTTACCTAGTATTACTTCGTATTACTTCGCAGGTATTATGTATTACTTTTGAGTGGATTGCCCCTTGTGAAAGATACATTTCGAACATACCTGACCACCGATGAGTGAACCGATGGCAAAACCTACGCCATCATCCATACCGGCGACTAATCCCTGAACAGTGGCCTGTGTACCTGGCGGTGCCACCTCTGATGCATAGCCCACAATGCATGTGTAGCACAGAGCATATGAGCATCCTTGCATAAATAGTTCGACCAAAACCAACCACCACGGGTTTGGAATTAGTGAAATTAATCCAAAGCGAATAAAGTACATGAAAAAACATAAACTTAAACAATGCACATAGCCGATACGTTTGAGTATTTTGCCGGCTACTAAAAATATTGGAATTTCACCGCCTAAACATTCGGCGGCCACAACACAGCCTTCAATTAATTTAATCGATTTCATGTAACCGGTTGCCTGGGCCAATTCTTCTAAATACCAAAACATGTAGTAAATGATGAACGAGTCAAGGATGCCAGCTAACGTAGCGAAACATAAAAAGACTAAAATTTGCTTTTGTCGCAGCAAATCGGTCACTTTGCTGGCAATTGTTTCACCTTCGTTGGTAAAACTCGGCAGCTTGAGCCATTTTATGCTGATCACATCGCATAAACCGAAGCACAGCATAACGATTAGGGCGGGCGTTATGGCTTTCACTGCATCGGCCGAATCAAGTTGCAAGGTGTGTACTAAGATACCGGCTATTAGGGCCGTCACACCAAATCCATTTGTGCCCCACACACGCTGAGCGCCGTATCGCATCGTCTTTTCACCCAACATATCGAAACAAATGGCATCGCTCACAGAATTTGTCACATTGAACCCGATGGTTCCAAGGCACATCAGAATTGTGAACAGCCAAAATGTTAATGTGCCATAGTAACAGCTACCCAACGATTGTTTGTCATCCTGAATCTGGACACAGGTTATTATTTGACATGTTTCATTCAGCTGGAGCACATCCGAAACCAAAGCATCCATACAGAGGCGAAGCGATGGTCTTTCACTCTGATTATTCGCATTGTCCATGCGAATGAAACCGATTTGAGTGGAATTTACAACACAATCTATCGAACAATTGGCCATTTTGTGCTCGATTAAACATAAATCCGCATTTTTTATCTGAAACAATGAATGAGGATTTTTTTTTTGTGAATTGGTGAATCATTTTTCTTTTGGTCATGAAGATTAAAATAAAGAAAAAGAATCATATTTTTTTATCTACCGTTAATTGCCTATCACAGATGCCATCAATTTCCGTAAAATTATACGATGACTGCTTCGGTATTTTCTGAGCGGGAATTATTGGCACAAAGAGGAATCCAGCGTAGCAAAGAATCATCAACACGGTTATCGACATGAATATTGTCTTTCGAATACTCTGAAAAATTGGAATTTTTCAAGTTAATTTTATTTAAGAAGGGAATGAGTTTTTATCCAGTCAACTTGCTCTATTTTTCTATTAATTTTTATTATGATTCAATTTACTTAATATTTTCCCACAAAAAATCCCAAATGTAATCAGAAAGTAAATCAATTCATAAAAATTCCTCAAATTTAAGTTCTCATAAAATAATAAATCAATTTAGATGAAAATATTTTGACTGGAGATAAAAAAAATTATATCATGCAAATTATTCATACCGGAAAATAGTCGATAAGATATCCAACGGCCGGTTTGGCCAAAATGTACATAATGGGCAGAAATGATGTGATAAAACCCATGACATCGGGTGAGATTCCCAGTTCTTTGCCAATTACATTGATTTGAGGCAGTATCGGTCCCATTGCTGATGATGTCGAAAACCGTTGTTTTTTTTTTCAAAATAGAAGAAAGTTCATGATTAAAAGTGTGAAATATTTTTAAGTTAAAAGTGGAAAAAGGTCAATGGTTCCAAATATCAATGAGAAGCAAAAAGGAAAATTGACTTTTTTTAGAAAATGAGAAAAAGAAATTAAGAAAAAAATTTAAAAAAAATTATGAAAAAGAATAAAAAAATTTGAACAAAAAAAAAAAAAAAAATTAAAAAAAAAAATTAAAAAAATTAATTAAAAAAAATAAAAAAAAATTTTAAAAAAAAAAAAAAAAAAATTCAAAACAAAAAAGTAAACATTTCATTTCAACAAAATAAATCAATCTATTGATAACGTCTCACATCACTAGTCAAAGTATGTTAATTGTATCAATAAATTGATTCATTGTTGTTAGTGGCACTATCTTCGCCCCTTGCGGATGGTATCATATTTGTAACTCACCTGCCATAAAGAAGAAGAAGTGTGCCTTGATGGGCAGTAAATTTTTGTTGATTCGATCCATGGTTCTCGTTTCTGTGTAGCCCAGATAAACGGTGAAAAAACAAAACCTTCTGCCACAACTCACGTGAAATTGTCGTGTGGTATTTGCATCAACTGCCACATCGAATTGAATTGAACCCGTGGAAGCGTTTGAGTAGCGACGTGAGAAAGTCGAGTATTATCTTGAAAAGTGGGCATTTGCTTATCGTTGTGTTCTTTTTTCTATTGTCTGGATTTTGAATGGTACTCTAGTTACAATTTGTCGTGGTGCGCGTATAATTTCGGTCTCCTTTTCTTTGTATTTATCTCGTTGGCAATAAATCTAAGCCGTTTAATTGTGGCCGTTGTTTGTTGTCTTTATTTACCCGAAAATAAAATGCTAATGTGTGATTGCATCCGCGATGATAAAACCTCCGTTGGTATTATCTTGAGCTCGTTTATCTATCTGATCCGTGTTTGGAAACCTATGTGATGACGAACCAACGACGATAAATGAGGTTAGTGTTCTTATTCTTTCACTTTGTGATAGAATCATCTTATCAGCTGATTATAAATTCAATAGACCAATTTATCAGATAAGGTTAAATTATGCAACGCGATAGACCGTGATGTGTCCGAAAATGAATTTCGCCGCTTTTCGACTCACAACGAACACGCAAGACACACCATTTTGCTCGTGTCGAAAATAGAAAATTGACATTTTTGCACCACACGAGATTGTCATTATCATTAATACAGCAAAAATAAACACTGAACATAGGTTCGGTAGATTACACACACGGTTACGGTATACAGAAATTGGGTTTGGCAAAACAAAGGAAAGAGCGTTTGGGTGCCGTTCGTGTGTGTGTGAGTGTGTGAGTGCGCGTGCACAAGCAACAGCTGATTCACAATAAAATATGTCGGGCATGTAGTGCAAACACCGAAAAATGCATGTGTCACGACGACATTGACATTTGTTTGTGTACATTGTACTCGGAGGCATCGAACGCGATGACATTTCGCTTCTCTTGCTCTCTCCTCATTCTCTCTTTCTCTCTTTTTCTCTTTGTCTTTCTCCCTCCTTCACTCTACCTCAATCGCTCACTATTTCTGCTGATACTTTAAAAACCGATGATTTTTTTTTATCAACAAAACGATGTATTTCAAAATGCGAAGCTCAGATTTTGTTTACATTACGTGTAAACGACGATATTTGTGCATTATCTTTCAATTGAACCGACACAAGACGAGCGGCCTTTATCCCCGATTTTAACATTTTCAATGGCATTGAAGTAAACACATGAACGACAAGATATCATTTGTATCAATTGGCGTCGACAAACCAACGAATTTCATCTAATTCCCACATTCTGCACCATTGAATGGCTCAATTTTTGAATTTTTTTTTCCTTTCGTTGATATAAGTTTGAGTACGCGCTTATTTATTACATTGTAATAATTACGATCGACTTTACTACATTGTAAAACCGAAGTGCTTTGCGTCAATTGAAACAACAAGTTGTGTCAACCTTTGAATCACTCATTCGAAATGCATTCGCAGAACATTTGCTCAATCACATTCACCGCACTGATTGAATCCGTCGCAATTTGCCCGGTAATTCGTTGGAAATAGTCACTAGTTGCTATTGATATAGACAATTTGTGAGTATCATACAGACCAAATACTATTCGCACTGAGAATCGTCGCAACTTACACTTTAATGTACATTACGTTATTGTTATCGTAAGGTACGTACCACTCCAATGTACCACACTTCAATTGAACCATTGAAACCAATTGAAAATAATCAAAATTGGCCAAGTAATAATCAAATTTCGGTATTGTTGCCCGTTTTCACGCCCTTTAACGCGAATTTTTTTCAAATCACAATAAAGAAAACAATTGTTCGTACCATATCAACTCAGTCACCAATACTACAGTCCAATAGTCCAAATGCCGACAATCATATCCAAGAAGAAGAAGAAGAAAAAATTGTCGAGTTTTATTATGGCCGATGCTGTGTGTGTTTAGCCAAGCAGCGACAGCACTAGAATAAAACAAACTCAATATATGTGGTCGTCGTGCAGTCAGTAAACATTGAGCTGATAGTATAAACGCTTCCCCCCACACATGTTTTCAGCTTCATACGCCGCATTGCAATGTATTCTCTTTCTCACTTTCTTTCTCTATCTGTATCTCTTTCTCTCTCCCTCTCTCCCTCTGTATCTGTCTTCATGCGAGTAGCGGCTTTTATTATTCAAGTTATATTTTGCTGCGTTCCACCTTTTACACGCTTTTTCGTTCGATACTCGATGCATTCGGAATTCTATGAATAGATTTCAAGACACTTATACTGTACGTTGCTGCGTTTATGTTCAAGACTTGAACTTCAAGTCATTTCAACTCGGCAACTGGAGGCGATCCAATCTTGGAAAGAGACGATGCGGTCGTCGATGAGCCAACCATTGGTGGTAGACGTCAATTTAACAGACAATTTATGGGTTTCGATCAAAAATGATCAAAATACCATTTTTGAAAGACACTTTTCTTCGGGTCGTTTTCTCGGACGAAATTACTTTTTTGTCATTCCTTCATTTTCATTATTTTCTTCTTTATTTTATCTTTCGTAATTCAATTTGACTGATACTAAATTTGTGTTCTTTTTTCTTGTCAAAAAATATTGAAATAGAAGATTGGAGAGAAGTAATCGATTTACTCATAGAAAAAATTTCTTTTTTTCTTATTTATTTCTAATTTTATGGCAATAAGGAAGAATAAGAAGATTGAAAACAGGAATCTAGACAGGAATTTGGTGTGAAGACAAAAAATTTCATCTGAAAAATCCGTTCACTTTCCTAATAAAATTGAATGAGTATTAAGAAAATTGATTCACAAATTCGTCAGTTTGATTCAAAAACAGACACATCATGTAACTGAACAAGAGAATTTCAATAAACAAAAGAAGATGTTCTCATCGACTATATCGTCTTTATGAATCAAGTATATCAGCTGTCAAATTCAACGCAAATGGCAGTGTTGTTATGAATTGAATTCTAAAGAAGTGTCGGTTGTGATCGACGCGATGCACTCGCTACTTTTTGCTCTTGTTCTTCACTCTTCTTCTTTGTGCGCTTTTTCTTCTTCTTTTTGATACTCTAATTAGTCATTTGTAACTAATTACGTTTATTGTTCTGGTGACAAACGAAAAAAATGTAAGCAAAGAAGCGTCACTGCAATCATCACAGTGATCACATTAGACTCGCTTGGCATTTAATTTATAACGACGATGTTTCATACAACGAAAACGATTGTCAACTATTGATACGAATCAACGATATGGTAGTTGAATCAAGTTGTTTGTTGTACCGCAAGCAACTGGCAGCAGATGGTGCAATCGTTTGCGAAATTCCATACAGATTAGAAAGACTAACGGTTTTTGTTTTGGGAATTATTTTCTGACATATGTTTAAAAAAACTGATTCATTTTAATAACAAAAAGAGGTATTTTCCATTCGAAGCGACATCCCTTGCCAATATTTTAGGCGATTTATAGATACCCTCTCGAAAAAATAACGGATTTTTAACACTATTAAAGGATCGATCATTTTGTGGTCAAATGGAAGTATCTTACCGCCCAAATGACAATGGCGAAGAAACACAACAAGAGGTAGAGTCAGATCCGGAAGATCACATTTACGAGGAAATTCAAGAACGAGAATGCCCTTATGACCACCTCAATCACATGCCAATATCAACTGAAAACCAACATCATCACAACTTCACTCTGGTCAATCGCAATCGCAGTACTCAACCTCAATTTACATTTTATACATAAAAAAACTCAAAATTCAAATAGAACGCACTGGGAATTTATACACTTCTATCTTTTCAGAGTGGAGGAAATCGAGGCTTTCTAGACGGACAACATGAAATTCTTCCAATTTACAACAAACCAACATGATTTTGAAAGAAAAAAAAAACAATTCAAGGAACAAAAGAAAAACTAGAAGAAAAATCGAAATATTTTCATGAAAAAAACTGTATTTATAAAAAGAATGCCCAAAAAACAGCCTCATATTGATTGTCAATCGAGAGAGTTTGGCCAAAAATTCAACTGTCATTTTTGATAATAATGATAATCATAAACATACTTATTTACTAGATAGATTGAACGATAAATTAATAATGGAAATAAGAATCGTCAAATTATCCAACTAATTTCGATTCTTAGTTAAAAATTATTTTTTAATGGATTTTCCTAATCTTAAAAGAATAAGTAAAAAAAAATAAAAACACTGGCTTTACACTGGCATCCGCTGTTGGTTTTGGTTGTGTTGCATTTGATGTACTTCTTCCAGAGCGATGAAAATATCAATTTTGCCGTTAATTCGATCGGGAAAAACTGGATTCGTATTTCAAAGTATGAGTTTTTTTCTGTTTCTAAGGACGGTGCTTACGTTATTTGTTTCTTGCTTTTTCGAAGTGAATCGAATTGAACCGAACCAATGCTTTGCGGCAATAGCTGGTGAACGAATTTTATCAAGGCAGTCTGATAGAGCGATATTTAGCGAGTGGTAGATATTGTTCAGTAGCTATTACCACAAATCATTTCTAGCCTAATCGATTCACGAGAGAGAAATAAATGAATAAAAAATAAATTCGTTGACATATTGATTTTTGTTAAAATTTTGTCAAAGATTCCCCTCAAATTTCCTAATATGACGAATTGAGATTGCGAAAAGCAATGAATAAAAGTAATTTACATCAAAGCGAAACATGATTCGATTTCGAAAAACCAAATCAGTTTCCGATTTTCTCTTCGGTTTCTGTGCATGTATGTGTATATGTGGATAGTCCAAACACAACTATTCGATACTTAATGTGTCTCTAACTAAAATGGCCATTAAAATCACACTAAGTCATTAAAATAAAAATAAAAAGGAAATTAAATCGAAAAAGAAAAAAGTCGCCGTGGAAATGGTGCTTGTAGAAAACGATTCAGGGATCTAACTTATTTTAAGAGACTTCGATAGTAAAATTAAACACGAATTCCTCAATCAATGACGCCTGAAAATAGAGAGAAAGAGAAAGAGGTAAAGAGAAGGAGGAAAATTCACAATCGGATCTAAACAATACACAAAGAGCAAAAATTACCGGCTGTGCAGTAGCAGATGATCGGAGCGGCTAAACGAACGCATACAAAGTCGGCATCGAAACGGTTTGATGCCGGTGTGCTTTCGAAAGTGTCGTGTCAACTCATCGGATCGTGCGAAACGCCATGAACAACCTTTCCATGTGCAAACATACGGTTTTTCACCTGCGAAAAAACAAGCGGACAAAAGAAATTTATCATTTAACGATGCAAACGAGGGAAACGTTTTCGATAACTCAAAGAAAAAAAGACAAGCAAACACGCCTACCTGTGTGCGTTCGTTTATGCGCCTTGAGGTGTGAGCTTTTCGTGTAAATTTTATTGCATCCGATTTCGTCGCATCGATGGCATTTGCGGCTCACTTTCGTATCATTCGATGATATATTGCTTTTAAGACGATGATAGACCGGTGCTGGTATACGTTCGTAATCAACATCTGGATTCAATGTTGTGATTTTGTCATCGTTTCGCAGCCGAGTCACAAGTTTGTGCGGTTGATTCAGTGAATTGGTTTGTCTGTGTTTGTGTTTCGGTGTTACTGCTGCTGAAAATTGTGAATGAGCGTGCTGCGCAAATGGGATATGCGATATGGTCGAAATGCTCCATCGATTTGGTGAATGGGTTACATTTTCGGCGAGATCATGCCTTAATGGCCGTTTCAGTACTGCATTCTGGTTTTCAGCCGATGACCATCCCAATGAACAATCCGCACTAAAATCAATGGAAAAATGATGATTATCGCCAACATTCAGATCGACACTTGACGATGCTGATCCTTTAGCTACAGCATTTCGACATGGCCACCTGCAAATAAGATGGAAATTATATCGGACAAATCATAGAAAATGCGCAGGAAATAAGCTTCGAATTACATACAATAAAAGGAAGACAACTCACCGCAAGCGATTCTCTGAAAAATAGTTGACGCTGCTCTCCTGACGTGTTTCACCTGTTTTTTTTTTATAGAAAAAGAAGCTAAAATCAATAGCAAGTCAAGCTTCAAGATGAATGGATTGTTATCACATGGCTTGAAGCCATACGCAAATCGATAGGTATAAAATGACTTTTATTATTTCATTCGAAACTTGCTCTGAATTTTTACTGAACTTCGATAGAGCTATTGGGAGTTGTAATTAGACGGTGCTGTCTCATTCTCTTGAAAGAAATAATAAGACGATTCTTATTCTCTATTCAATTCAGCCGCTGATACGTGAACCAAAGACATGATTTTTTTTTGTTCTCCGTATTAAAACACAACGAAAAAATAATCACATTGTGTCACATAAGTTGAACAATAACTAACCGCTGTAGACTGTGCATTCGCAACTCTTATTGTACAATAATTTTGAAGACATCTCGCCACGTTTTCAATTCGATTAAATCGGTTGACTATTCGGGGTACATTCAGATCAACAACACATAATTCAACTCCAATTGATCATTCCGAATTTCGGTTTTAATGTTCAAATTCACCATTTTTTTTCTGTTTCGAATTCATTCTATTCAAGCAGTTTTCATGTTGTTGTCTTGTTTCAATTCGACAAGCACATTGTTTGTGTCATGATGGAGCACTTGGTATTTGAGATAAAGTTGCGTTCAATTGTTTTTATTTCCTTGTTGATTGGTTTGAATCGGTAAATCATTGCGCAAATTGTATCGCACAGCAATTCTTTGTGCTGTGCTATTACTGAATGCGATAAAGAATCACGTTAAATTGAATTTGGATCATTTCAATGCTCTATGTGCTCTGCGCTATGAACGGTGCAAATGGCAAATGTTAACTCACATCAATGTGAACTTTTTAATACATGACTCAATATCGTTTGGCTTTTTTTTCGCCAATTTTTCTTTCTCTTTTTCTAACTGGTAATAATAACAAAATAATTCTTTGCGATAAAAGGTTGAACAAATAATGAAATGAAATGAAATATTAGAAACGTTTCGTTATTTAATTCAACATTTTATCGCAAAAAATGATTTTTGTGATTTAATATTGTAACATTGTGACATTTTTTTTTGACTATGGTAACTAGATTCTAGTCACTGGATTATTTTTCTCCATGCAATTTATGAGTGACGAGTGATTGCACCAGTTAACTATTTTGGGACATTTTGACTACATTTTGTACGTATGATGATTGGAATTTTAATCAAACGACAGTCACAGTTTATACATTTGACTATCTAAACCGGCCGATTTGTTTGAATTTAAAGTTGATTGAAATCAATTGGAATTCCAACCGAGAAAATCTCCTTTATACCAAGCACAAAATGTACAAAAATCCAGTCAAAATGTCCCTCAAACAGACTCGGCCAACTAGTAGTCAATAATTTTTCACATGGGTATCTGCTTCCTGTTTCAAAATTATTTTTCCGAGATTTTGCTTATTTTTGGTGGTTTTTCTTATAACATCTGTTGTTTTTCGTTCAGTTTCGCTGATTTCAGGTGAACTTTTGTAAATAAATCTTCATTTTTTAATTTGTTTTCGTTCCGTGTTCATTTTGGTTTCAAACTTCAGTTCGTATGTTCAGTTTCAATGGAAGATCTCCATTCAAAAAGCAAAAAAATAACACTTTTGCTTGAGATGAAGACACATTTTTCGCAATCCTTTGGTATTGAATCAGATTTTAAAAGAATTCAATCTTCTGGTGATTGAACATTATTACATTGTTCGAAATCATAATAAATACTAATCTGACCGAAATTTAATTTTCGCTGATTTCGTCTAATCATAACATAATGCAAGCAGTATGAAAAATTCGTTTTTCAAGCACATAACAATTCCATATGTTACTCTAAGCCTTAGAGTCTAAGGCTTAGTAAATCGATGGCTTCAGTCAATGAGACACCGTGGAAAAAACTCACGTTAAATGTAATTTTATCTTGGAAATGAAAAGAAAGATGAACGATGAAAATGAACGCGCTGTTTCGAAGCTGTATTCAATTGTCATACCCCCTTCCTCCCTCATTTAAATTGGATTTCATTCTTATCTCGCTCTCTCTCTCTCTCTTCATTGCGTAATTTTACACTTAAATTCATTTCATTCCGAAAAACATACTGAAAATTTTAAAGTTCATTTTATGGTTCGGACGGTGAATAAAAAAACAAAAAGGCCTCCGCCCAGATACTTTGGCAGCTAATTTAATAATGTTAATTCTATTTTCTGCGGAGTTGTTAATTTCGATAAATGTTGAATTGGATGGAGGATAATGTGATCATAAACCATCGGGTCGGTGCATTGTGCAGTGTCGATCGATCGGCGCAACAAGCTGAATGAATTGGCTGAATCGAAATGGTAATAAATTAATTGTGTCAATGCGGCGGGTAGCAGGTAACCCAGTAAGCCAAGCAGTAAGAGTCTAACGGAGAGACGAGCTACTGAATAAACTTGGGCTCGTTGGTTGGACAAGAACAAAAGAAAAGAAACGAACAACGAGCGAACAAATGAAAAGTAAAGTCAATCCAATCCATATGGTTTAATTTTAGCTCGAAAACTGATCGCCGTGATATTGTAATTAATGTGTTCGTACGCTTGATGTTTTGGTGGCCATTTCGAATGGTAAACCGGCATTTATGTCAATTACATATTAAACGATCGATACAATAGATTTATCTCTTTTTCTTGGCTCGACTTCGATCGTGTTATTGTTGTTGTTTTTGACATCGTCCCACCTGCAAAATTGCTAACGCTGTCAATAAATAAATCGTGTGCGAGATAATTCACGTTCATACGTTCACAGACACACACAAACACAAATTAATTGAAAATCGTTCCGGATAAAGCGCATATACGCGCTCGCCATGAAACGAAACTATATATTCTGGGAGCGCGCGTGCGCACGCGCCCGCTACCGCATTACGCCACATTTTCAAAACAATAACCGATTTTGTAACAGAGATAGCAAACTGACTTCTTTTTTGCTGTTGTTGTCTTTTCATGCGGTTTTTGAACAGTGTAATGTGAATTCGAATCGAATCGAAATTTGCTAAGGAAACGATCATGGTGTGGAAATCACTGTTTCGCTATCATCTAACATGTTAATAAAGTCAGTTTCGACTTTTACGAAATTTGTTTGCAATTACACGACAATTCATGTTCGAATTTGGCTTTTATAACCAGTCGATTTTAATGCCCGAAAATTTTGCACCAACAAACCCAATCCGAATGCATCGGAGTAGAGTGAGCGAAAAAAAAAAATGACTACCAAACTTCAAAGTGGCTTTTTCACTGATTCGATCGTCGGAGTGTGTTTCAAACGGTTGGCACTGTGTTTTTCTCTCACTCTGTCTCTCCCTCTCTCGCTTCTGCGCGTGAGTTAAGATGTAGAATTCAAAAACCGGGCGACGACTCTTTTCAATTTGTTGTCATTCAAACGAATTTGTAATCAATTGACTGCAGTTTACTGTTTTTACCCAACAGAAGAAAAAAAACACACATACAAATCCCATGTGACAACAGAACATTCCATCGACTTGAGACTGTTTTTTTTTCTTCAGCTTTCGTTTTTGTTCAAACATCTCAAATATGGCATTATGGATTTTACTGCATATGTTGAGCTTAAAATCAGCGCTTACTGTGCGCATTACTCTTTTCCAAACCAGCAAAATTGAGATATGCACGGCGCGATTGAATGTTGTTTCAATTGGTGTGTGTGTGTGTGTGTGTGTGTGTTTTGTATCGCTGTTTTTTTTCTTTCTTTTCGCTAAATTACAATGTTGTGCTCACACCAGTCTGGATTTATTCGGAATAGAAATCACCCAATTTTGGGCAAATCCACTTCGGTTTTCACATTATACAATCACTCACACACCACCAGACTTGATCAGGTGACTCTAGTTTTGGTTTTTCTATCAAGCCCAAACAAACACGATCAAAAATCGAAAAGAACCTTTTTCGCATGCTTTCTATATGAATGAGTTTGAAAAAAAAAATGGTAACTATGGCTTGATTTGACCATACAAATCACTCGGAAAATTAACCGCTTTTTTTAAGTTTAGACTTTTTTCGTTGGAAAAGAATTTTGCTGTATTTTTCTATTGAAACGTAGATGGGTTTTCAACCGAATTTTTTTTTTCATCATTTCTTCACAGACCACTTTTATTAATCCACTTCAATTTCTGGAGCGATCGAAAATTGGGAAATTCGAAAATTATGGAAAGTAAATCGTAGGATAAATCCTATAATTTAGATTACCGATAGAAAAGTTTATTGAATTTTGTCTTGAAAAATGATGATTTTCGTTCAAAGTCATTGCTGATCAGTTATTGATTATGAATTATGTTGATCAGTTAGCGAAATAATATTTGAAGAAATTTGTGTGTAGAAACAAAAAGGATTTGCTAAAATTCCAATTAACTGTTGAAATATGTTGCGAACGATTTGTTCGGTAATGTGTTTCGGCAAAATGATTATCATTTGAGTAAAAATTCACAAATAATCTGACCAGAGCTGTCTGTAAATAACTAAAAAAGAGTAAATTTCTTCCATGACAACAACCAAAATTGCATGCAAAAAGACATAGGTTTAGCATAAAAAATCGTTTGTTTCCGATCGATTGCGTTGAAAGTGGTCGTAAATCAGTGTAATATTTGAGTTGCACGATGGCTTGTACATGGTAAAATGGTTGGTTGGACGTGAGTGAATGGCTCAGTGTTTCTGGTAAAACAGCATTATTTTATCTATATTATCGTATGTGCGAGCATAAAATATCATTTAAGTTCTGGCCAACACCGTCCATTTCGTTTGGGCTACGCGCGCGCAGCAAATCTTTATTTATTCCGAATGTTCTTTCTATCTCTCACCTCTTTTCCTTTCTCCGATATACCGATTGGGAATAATTAAAGATGCACGATTAGTTGGACAACGTAGGCCATTTATCAAAACGACCATTTCTATTTACCTTTATCCAAAAACGACGAACTTCATTTTGGCCATAAGTAAGTCCCATATAAATGTACGTTGTGGAAGTGGAAAGGCAATAGAAATGCCGTTGAAAACTATCTGATTTCCGTGCACGAACTTGACCTTTCACATGGCCCAAACCATAAACTATATGGCAAACGATCGATAAATACTCGACGGAGCGCTAATGTTGTTGTGCATTTGGCACAGTTTAACGCTAGGCATTAAGTTCGATGAGCGCGCATGCGCTCTGCTGATCAGTTACCGAAATGCAAACATTGACCGAACACGAAAAGTGTGGCCCAATGAGAAGAGTGAGTGTACGAGTGCGATCATTAAATTTTGTGGATATGGTTAGGCGCGCGTCGTTTTGAACTGTGTCAGTGGTTCGTGTGAAGCATTCCACTGATAAGCATCGATCGAACGATTTTAATCGCTAAAATGCAGCAGCGGTGAATGTCAACGTTTATGGCATCTTTCTCATAGACAGAGCTAAATCGAGTTTTCTCATGGTCTTCGGCTTGGTCAGAGGAACGAATTTGGTTATTTCAGTTCCAACATTTCCATGTTGCCTCATTTCCAATCCAGAACATTTTCATGCTTTTACCTATTTCTTTCTTCGATTTAATTGCATCTTAAAACCAACTAAATTGCACAAGTTAAATCAACCTATGCTTAACCAACCCATTATATTCCATACCAAACTGATACTAACTAAATTCAACTTACCGCGAGCTTGTAGACTGAGATCAACTGGTTCGATTTGAACGGGAGGGCCCTCCGCCTGTAATCCAACAACGTAATTTTCATTTAATCACACTGAACATTATCGAAAACACAACTCACACTTGGTTCTTGTTTCGTTTACATACTTCTTTGTGGTGCAGAGGGTTTAAATCGATGCCATTCTGCAACAAAATCATCGAAATTTGTGAGATTTCTCATTAGTCGATACGGATTTGTCACATTTTTTTGGGGTTTTTTGTTTGGAACTTTCGATTTTTTTCTTCTAAATTTTTAGTTTGATTCGCTTTGTTCGTTGATCAAGAAGATCAAAGCGAATTTTGAGCCAGACTCAGTATAATCAGTGCATAAATGGTAGTAAAATACGATTACCGATAGTTATCCAGCAATTTCGGACGCAAATAATCAGTGGAAAAGAGCATAAAATTGATACAAACCATGAAAACCATTTAATTAATGAACAAATTCATAGGCACGTCGATAAACGTTGCGATTCGTATGTATCGTAAACACGTTCACTTTAGTTGCCAAGTCGTTTTCCAACTCCTTAGATTGCCAAGTGGATTTGTTTTTTGTCGAGGCTGCCGCCTCAAACGGCCCAATTTATGGCTCAATCAGCAAATATTTCGTCCAATTTTCAGTATACACATACAAGAGAGAGAAAGACACTAGCTCATACCTATGGGAATTATTCCGAAAAAAAGAGTTGCATTTTAATTATTAGCAAAAAAATTGCAATTGTTCATTGACAATTCGACAGTGTTTAATTTATTAGTTTTAACATGAATTTCGGTTTGCGTGATCAGATGCATTAAATTATGTGTGCGCTTGAATAATTCATTCGGTTCATTTTCGATATTCGATTGGATACTAATTGTTGAGATCGCATCTTGGGCTGCTTTTGCATGTGTGCGCACTTTGGCTAGATCGCTTATCCAGATGTTTCTTTTCTTCTTCTAATTGTTCCGTTTGTTCTCACATTTTATCTCTTTTCCTCTCTCTATTCCTTTCTGCCTCTCTTGCCCTGCCTTTTCCCCTCCTTTTCTCTATGTTTGTTTCAGGGTTTCTAGTCTTTTTTTAATCTCTTTTCATCGCCAATTGACTCTTTTTTATCTCATTTTTTTCTCCAATTCGTTTTTTTCTCTCGTTAGTTTCAGTTTGGACTTGGCTTTAGATCGATCGACTTGATTTGCACTAGTTTTGAATTGACCATATATGGCTCTTTTCTGTTACGGTACACAATTTTTTTTTTCACAGTGGCACTCATCGATCGGGCGTGAGATCAAAATCTTGAAAAGGAAATGAATGTGATTCTCACAAACGAGAATTTGCATAAGTAAAAATGCAGCATGCCTGTCACCTGTGTGTATGTTGCATATGCAATATATGGCAAACATAACAGTAGCCTAACACAACAGTAACATAAGAGTAGCAAATAATCCATTTGACTCCATTCACTCAACAATATGAATGTGAATTAAAGTGCCGCGCGTCAACTAAACCAATCATTTATGCGAATAACAAATATGGTAAGCCACAGACTCGTCAAATAGACACGTTATACACTGCACATGGCCAAATCATTTGCTTTCCATCGAGACATGCATCATAATTAAGTGCATTCGCTTCGAGTCGACCAGCAAAGTGGCATTTCTCTTTGCGTATACTGCAAATACAAATGCACACATCTGAAGCACCGAGAAACCAAAGTGGAAAAAATTGCGCGCAAATCAGCTGATCCCAGACAAAACAACAAAACAAGACAGAAAGGAGAGATCAAGGCAAAAAATATGAAAAATTGTGAAATCAGACGAAATTCAGAAGAATAGAAAGAAGAACGAGCATAAGAATAAAGAGTAGAAAATGACGTATATGAGGAGGAATTGTGTCAAAATTGATAGGACACGAATAAAATCGAAGAATATTCGAATTGAAATCGATGTAAATTGACGGTAAAAATACGATGAAATTTGAAGAAAAAAGCACACTTTTTCGTTTTTCTAATCAAATTCAACTCGTTCACATATTTTATTCGAAGCGTTTTTTTTTTCACTAACAAAAACTTTTCTTTAAAAAACCTGCTTGAATTTCTCATCTCCACTTGATCCAAAAATCTTCAAAGATACCTCTTGTGTTCATAGAAAATGAGTCAATTTGGTCTTTTGCTTCGGCAATTCAAATCGAATTTAAGAGACTTTTTTCTTTAAATTATCCGTGCGTTTTTGTTTCACCTTCAAGACAAACTGCATTCAACGAATATGGTTTGGCATTCATTGAGAAAAAAAAGTCAACTAAAACACACAACAAAAAGAGTCGCCGTTTTTTTGTCTCGTTGGACGTAGAAAAAAATGGTCGTTTTTTTCCTTCCAAAAGCATCTACTTTGATATTTATTATATTGTCGATTGTAAATCAATTTGTATTTTTGACATGTTCAGTTTGTGTGCGTCGATTTGGCTGTTGTTGTTGTTATGCAAGTCTCATGTGAGTAAGTTGTTTGCGAATGCATTCGAAATATTTATTCCCACAGTCGTAAGTTGTCACGGTTTATGGAAATGCGAACTGCACGAGTCGAACGATATCAATGGTGCAACAATGAATGAAAATGGCACACATTGGAGAGAGAGAGAGAAAGAAAAAACATTCATATCCAAAAATCGCCCATACATTATTTGATTTTATGATTCTTTCTGAAGGGAAACAAATCGGGTACTCCGCATTCGAAAAGTGAACAAAAAATCCGCAAAATGAATCAAAATGAAAATAAGTGGCGAAAAATGATCACAACACTTAATGACTGATGCAAATTGGAAGACGTTCGTTGCAAATAAAAATGATTGAGCACGCATTTGGGCGCCAAAACAAGCTTACAATCGATTTGTTAACTCGTCGAGCGTTGCGTTATCTTGATAAAGCGGCAATCGAATTGTTGGTGCTATGAATCGAGTGTCATTGAAGTGTTGGGCCGATTTTGTAAGAAATGAATGAGAAAAAAAAGCATTTACGTCAGCCACAACGAAAGAAGAAAAAAAAAAAGCCGAGCACAGATTTTGGAATTGCATAGCGAGAATGTGCTATGCACGGGAATTGGTCACACACGGTGAACGCAAAACTCAGTCAATTGGAACGAACGAACGAAACGGCCGAAATGAATGACAAATTTAATTTTTATTTTTATTATTATTGTGGACTTTTTTTCTGCTCGTTTGTTGGCGCTCTATATGTGCGGTGTTTTTTTTTTTCTTTCTGTGTTTGTTGTCATTCGCGCACAATGCACACATAACTCATGCTGATCTTAATTAGCGAATAAAAAGGAAACAAGTCAGCATTAGGTAACTGCGCAGTGCACAAAGCTTCTCACTCAATATACACAGCTCAATTGAGATATTGATATGTTTGCGTTCATGTTACCGTTTAGGTTTGAATATGCGGTGAGAGCGAGCCAGAGGGAGCGTGATCAAGAGAACGAGATAGAGTGAGAACGAGAGAGAGAGAGAGTGAACGAAATAGAGTAAGAACTGGTAAGAACGAAAGCGCTAGAGAGAGAATGAGAGAGATGTTAAGAGAGTAACTGAGTGAGTGAGAGAGAAGAAGATAGATAAACACCAAAAAGAGCAAAATTAAGCGAGAAAAAGTGAGAACGAGCGATAACAAGAGGCCGATCAAGCAATAGCTAGTGAACGATCAACAAATATTGTTGCCAGCTGTTATATTGGATCAGAATCATGATTCTGTAAGATTCTGCACAATTCGATGATCAACGTGCAAGTAAAAACAGATACACACATTCACTTTGCGTTCATTTTGTTCCAAATGTAAAATTTGATTGTGAACCGAATTGCAGGCGGTGATAGCATGAAATAGTTTTTTTTTGTTATGAAAATGGAAATCCACCGAACAAATAACACACACTTAACACAGCACAATCGTAATAAAATATGGAGACCAAAATTCACGCACGTTGAAACGAACGGTTTACTTAAAAACAACAAATTTGCTGTACTGCACACGACGGATCACAAATTCACATCAAAGCAGTGGGATAGAGAGCAACTGCAGCGGCACGTCTTACTGTCTCGGAAGACAGTTCAACACTGAGACGGGAAAAAAACACATTAGCCTATGATCGAAACAAGTACCACAGAGCGCGTGCATACGTCTGTCGCACAATTGTTTTCAAGTCGTTTTAACCGCGGCCGCACACCAAATGCACTTACATGCAACCAAAAACAACAACGATAAACAATGCCAACGACGAAAAGAAAACGGTACACAACTACCGACATCAAAACCAAACCGTTTCAATTCTTTTTTTTTTCTTTTTAAATCCATTCTATGCCTGTGATTCTTTTACTCTGGGAACGGCAATTGTTTACCGCATTTTGATTTAAAACTGGATCGCGTCTCTTAATATCGCGTACTTTCATGCAGTGGCACACGATTTTTGGATTGGATTGACTTTTTAAGAGATAAAAAATGAGTAAAAAATGTTTGATATTAGAAATCCGCTAATTTGAAGGAAAAAAGGGCGGTGAAATTGAAAGAAAAAAAATATTTTTTAAAGAAATCAAAATTATTTTTATATTCATTTAAAGCACATTAGATTACATACCAAAACTGGTTTCGATGAACCGCTGTGTCCCAGATTTTGACGAAAATGTTTACAGTTCCATTTATCAGTGAACGGATTCATGTGACACTAATTTCAGACCCATCACACGCTGCTGAAAAATTTCAATTTTTGTTTCCTGTATCAAACAAAATGATATCAAGTGTTCTAAAGTCGTAAAAGAATTCAAGTTTTGCAACTTAGATTTTGTCTTCGAATGCGGTTTGAAAACGCTGACTGCAATTCAAACTGCATAGTTTGAACAGTCGATCGTCAGCAGTATACTGTTTGGCTTCCAACAATCGATCGAATCTTGTTTTATTTTCTATCTAATCGTTACATACCAAATTCTGACAGCAGGATCGATCATTGGCTCAATGCCAGAAAGAAATTGGTTTTTCGAATCAAAATTTTTCAATGACTTTTCCCCAGAAAAAGTTAAAAATGTCTAAGAAGCAGTTGAATATGAACACCAACTATGTTCCTCGCTGTATTTTCCAGACATTGCTCCGTATAACTGTCACTTGTTTCAGACGATTCAAAATCACCTAAGTGGAGAACGGTTCAAATCACCTAAGTGGACAACGGTTATTTTCAAAGGAGTTTATCCATCGACGTAAACCACCCCGTTAATCACTTCAGTATTCCATCCATGTGCTTTTGGTTGCGCTTCTTTGAAACTGAAGAAAAAAAGGTATTTTAAAATATAAATTTAATTGAAGAATAATATCATTTTAATGTGGATTCAGTAAATGTTACCGTTCTAGGCCGTAATATTGAATTAAACACAAGCTTTTGATTACGGCCAAGTCTGGTTTTGCTGTCACACTCCCTCGTTCACAATTTGTTTTCATATCATTGATCTGAGCATCGATCAGGGGGTGTAACATTGCATTGAATTGAGCCGAACTAAAAATAAAATACAGATAAGTCGATTGCACAAAGCTATTCGATTGAAAACGATTGCTCTTACGGCACGAAACTTCTATCAGCTGCAATCTTAGTTCTGGAATGAATGTGAATATACATTAAAAATACATTAAAAAAATAAAACGCGATAAAGGACGAAAAGGGCTTTATAGTATCTTACTGTGCATTTGAGATGCGGCTGATCGCTGCGCACTTTTCATACAATTCAAAAGTTGATGGTGATCAAATTACGACTTGGTTGTTTTTAACCGTCGCGCCACTTGGTATTTTAACACATACATGAATGATTGCCAATTCACGTATGATCGCATTCGCTTGGATCAATGCAAATTGACCAGTATAATCTTTGGATGCTACTTTGATATCGGCACCAATCGAAGAGTACTCATCGATAAAACTGTCGTCTTGAATTTCCGCATCATTTCCAATGGATGCGTAATCATTCACTTCTACTCTGTTCCCGATGGTTACATTCTTTCCCGTGTTTGCGTATCCATGGAAAATAGAGCCTGTTCCGATTGCGGTGCCACTACCAAATTTTGCATAATTTGCACAAAGTCAATTTCGCATGTGAATCTTCATTTGCGTCATTTGTGATAGTACTGGGCGATAGTAGCAAAACCGCCGACTTTACTTTTTTTCTCCAATTGATGTAAACCCACCAATTGATGCGTAATCACCGACTCTTGCATTGGCCTTTATAATCGTACTCGGATCAATATTTGTGAACCCACCTATATAGGCGTTCGGATCAATCTCAATTCAGTCGACTAACGATTTAGTTTAGGATTAGTCTGAAGAACCGAAAACCGAATTATGGTTGACAAGAGTGAATCCATTATGTTTTGTGTGGAAAATGTATGTGAATTGAAGAAGAGTCGCATTGAAAAGAGCATGTTTCGGTTTGTAATCGAAAATATCTGGAGTCTGAAGTGTGACGCTTTTCGAAGTGGCGGCAATGAATTGAGCAAATGGACAAGTAATCAGAAATCAATTCAGCATTTGAATAATGAGAATTATGAACGAAATATTTTGAAGTTGAGACTTTGTAATAAAAATGTACAAACCCGATTCGAATACAGAGATAACACATGTTCCCAAAACCATTTGTTTCTTTCGTTGGAGAAGAAAATCGCTGCAAAAATGAACTCAGAAATTTAACGCAACCCCCTTGAGCCGTTTTGTTTTATTTCAGTTTCAAAATGTATTCATGTTCTGTTTTGTTTCGATCAAAATGGAAGCTTAAATCTAAAGCGATAGTTATGCATTTTTATTTCGAAAAATATTAAATGTTATTTCAATTTCAGGTGCATGCTCGTTATTACTATTCAATTGATTGATGTGACTGTCTTTTATGTGGAATTGTTTTGTAAGTGTCATGAAAGTTTCTTATAAGTTTTAAGCTTAACTACGCAATACGTGCATTATTTCTTTTTCAAATGGTGAACTGCTTTCATGTGTTGCCCGGCATTGCATTCTTTGCTGAAGCTTGCTGCACACACTTTGCATTGAATTTGCTCTCCGGTGTGATCTTTTCGCATATGAATCTTCAAATAATGTTTGGAACGACGATGCTCTTTACACAAATGGCATTGATACTGGCGGTAGCCACAGCTGTCTTCATGAGCTTCTTTTGCATCTTCGCTTGCGTATCCTCCGAAGCACTTGGAGCATTGGAATGGGAACTGGTCGCTGTGTGCTGTAGACAAATGACGATTTAAATGAATCTGTTGGACGAATTGTTTGCTGCAAATTTCACATTCGATCGATCTTTTGGCTCCGTGCATTGATTGTATGTGATGCTTCAATGAGTACTTGTGGAAAGTTTTGTAATGACACTGATTACATGCAAACGGGCTTCGTTGGCAGCGCGTTCCGTGTGCTTGCTTATCTTCTGGTGTGGCGAATCGTCGACCACATTTCGAACAAGCATTCGACAATTCATCTTTGTGAGTAATTGAATGCCTTTGAAGATCATAGTTGGTTGCAAATGACTTGAAACAAACTGAGCACACGAACGGCTTTTCTCCGGTGTGAATCCGCATATGAACTGTCAAACTGTATTTCATCACAGTGTTATATCCGCAAATGTCGCATTCAAATTGACATGGATTACATAGCCTTTCATGATTGATCTTATCGGATTCGTGCTCGAATCGTTGATAACATTTCGAACAACGGAACTGAGGCTTTGGGCCATGCGTTTTCTTATGACGGTTCAAATCACCTTTTCGTGCAAAGAACTTCGAACAAACATCACACTGAAACGGCTTTTTCACGAAAGTGTGAGTTCGCAAGTGTATTATGTGCTCAGCCTTGCACCGTGCCACATGATTGCACACATGGCATTTGTGCTTCTTTTGCTTTTTGCTCGCTTGATTCCTGGGAATGGTTCGTTTGTTTTGCCTTCTGGAGCTTCCACTCCGCTTCCTCTCACTGTCGACTGGTTTCGGTGGTTGGAAATCGATTGCGTCACCCATGGGCTCTTCGTTGTTATCATTATTTGCAGCATCGCTCTCATTCGATTGTCCACGATGTGCCCTCTTGTTCTTTTCCTTGACCGTCTTTTCTTCTTCTTCTTTGATTTCATCTTTTAACACATCGAAGTCATAGTCAAAGTCAACCGGTCCCACGTAATTCGCACGATATCGTCCATCAACTCTCGGCCGTGGTATGTTCATGACATCGTCACCGTCATTGGGCTCTTCTTTAATACCAGGCTCTTGCTTGACTTCAACCTTTGTGCACATTGACTTGCGCTTGCAGCGTCTACCAGGAACACCTTTGAATGGCTTCATTTTCTGTTGAATTCAAGGGAAAACAATATCATAAATCAATGAGCCCTGTTTCAATCAAATGTAAACTATGCGTGCTTGACTCGTTTATACAAAGGAAAAGTATGCATGCAATGTGAACTCAGCGCATTCGCTTGAAAGTTGGGTTATGTGTAACCAATTTTCATGAGCATCTATTGATTTTCATGATTTTTCACTTTTTCAATCGAATCA